AAGTACTCATAATTTGGCACGCTACAGTGGTAGACATAAGCAAATTCCTACGGAGAAACCTAAAGTTTTAAGTCCGCTTTCTGCATTTGTACAAGAGAAGTACGCATATGTTTCTGTTGGTCTCTTATTAACGAATCGGACACAAATTCAATAAAATAATAATGTAAACACGTGTGTGTGTTCTTTGTTTTGCACATTTTTATAATTTTGTGTGTGCATTCCAACCATACCGTGCAAATGTATATTTTTAATTTAAGGTCAAAGAAAATAGTGACACGTGGAAGAAATGAGAATCAGATGATAATACAGTTGCTTTCAGTTTCATTCGTCCATATCCACTCCAGCTAGATCGAATCACGTGACAGGATCAGTTAGGCATTTTTTATTTTTCTTTCTTTAGCATATTGAATAGGTTAAAGCTGTCAGCATTCGAAGCAGTGATTATTTATGTTATTTGTCATCATAGAATCGACGTTTCAAGGAATTTATATTAAAATGGGCTTCTTAAAAAAAAATCGTTTTGGATGGTCTGTTTGCAGTAAAGAAACACTTTTATGATATTCGTAGAAGCCCCCCCCCCCAAAAAAAAAGCAGCTTGGCACTTTTAAAATTTCAACTTTTAGGGATGGATATGAGCAACATTTTGAATACTTTAGCTGAGATTTATTTTGGTTTCAATTTTTAGTCTTTCCATAATGTTATTGCTTATGTAGGAAGTCATTAGTTTCTTTTGTACTTGATATTAAATGTGAAATTACTTTTTTTTTGGCCACTCTACATGTTTCACTGAAATACTTAGACTATTACTTTTATTAAGAAAGCCCACGTTTACTATATTCCAAACAGCTCAATAGTTTTGAAAGACACGATATCCGAACACAGTAAAACGGCTTTATGGATTTTCTTTTGAAACGTGATAACAGTTTTAATACACCCAACCACTGCTGGAAATGGTGTTTCTCTAAGAACTGGAAGTACATGGAATGAGTCTAGTAAAAAAACAAAACTGTAATTCATGCTCAAGAACTAGCTTGTTTGCTGTTGTTTTCTTCATAGAAGCTTAAGGTGCACCGTTAAAATATGTATAACAGCAAAAAAGTCAGACGTATCGTTAACAAAAGTTTGTTTGGAGTTAAGCACAAAGCTACAAAAGGGAATATCTATGCTGCGCTTACCACGGGTATCGAAACCCGGTTTTTAGCATTATAAGCCGTTATATTTACTGCTGAGTCAATAGGGGGCGCTGACAAAAGAAAGTCGAATATAAGGCGCGCAGAAGTGAATCGCTATCTTTTTTTTATCATTGTCGAAAGATTTCCTGCTATTGGTATTGTGGCATTAAAGTTGAAAATTATAAAGTAGTAGCTGTTTCTTTACACTAGCATGTATGTTTTATCATGACATTTTATATAATGTAACTTATAATTCTTACAAAACAGGAATTCACATAGAGTATTGTTTGTTTTAGATTTTTTTTTTGCAAAGCCAACCCAGATTTTTAACTGATAGACTAAAGAGAAAGCAGCAGGTCAACAGTGCCCAGAGCCAAGTCTAGGGCTACTTTTCTCTGACCGAATAGTGGGATTTGACTGTCACTTTTACAATGCACCCACAGCCCTAAGCTGCAGAGCGCTTTTTTGCGTAATGGGATGCGAGCAGGTTCGCAGCCCGAGCACACTAACACTTAGCCACGCCCAGGCCCTTATATGGTAGAAGTGGAAATAAAGCGAGGAAAGCGATTGGTGCATGCTTACACTTTGCATTTTCTTTGGTTAAGTCGAAGCTTCTAACGTATGTCGTAAATCCGAGGGTTCGCGATTCCCGTTCCTATGCCGTTAAAACGCACTCCGTACTCTGTGGCCATTTGTGCGTTATGTAAGAGAGACGGTCAAATCTCACTATTCAATTAGAGTAGCCAAAGAACTGGCAGTGACTGCTTTTTGATTAGATGTTTGCCCCCTCGTCTACTGATTCAATATTAGGGATGGCTAGTAAATATGTTGCTCATGTAGCTTTGCTCGTAAATCCGAAAGAAAGAACCAAATTAAATTTTGTAGGTATATATTTATGCCTTTACTAAGAATTAACTAGAAAACTAATTTGTAAGATCTTAAGAAAGCTACACAAGGAGATGTCTCTGCTGTACCCACCATGAGTATCGAAACCCAGTTTTTAGCGTTGTAAGTCCGCAGACTTAGTGCAGAGCCATTGAGGAGCAAGGTTGTTTAGGCCTACGGAGTCTTAAGATATTCATTTCTCATATTACTACCTTTTTAATATTTTCTGTAAAATCTGTTTGATCCTCGGTGTTTATTAACAATACTAGAAATTAAATATATATATATATATATCCTAGCAGTCATTTTTAGCCGCGGCATAGAGGCTTATAGAATGGTTCTAAGTTTTTCCAAGTACTACAGGAATATTGTCAAGAATACACAGTCGTAAAATAAAGCATGACCGGACTCTGCGACATGTGCTGTAACGGCGAAGTGAGGCTCCAAAACCATTTTAATATAATATACCCAACCTCTATAGATTATAATAATCTATACTTTTTATGTAAAAGTTCAAAGTAACAATGTTATTAATACTACATAGAATTACACTAGTGAATTGAATATTCGTCTGTATTCTAGTTACAAAAACAATAGTATAAGTTTGAAAATGATTTTTTACATTTCCAAGCTTAAAAATCACCATTAATTCTTCTAAATTTTCCTCTTATAAACACGTACAGCGTGATCCATCATAATAGAGCAGTTTTTTATTGCATGGTTCCTGAACATCTTATTTAATTCATTACAGATTTCACTTATTATTACTGTTTACATTTTCTTCTCGATAGAAAGATACAATTTAAAAACTTTCATATAAAGCACAAACCTTACCTTGTTGATTATGTCAGAAATAACTTATCAGTTTTCATTTCCTGCCTGTTGTTTGTTACGGATTTCGCGCAAAGCTACACGAGGGCTATCTGCGC